TATATATATTCAGTTGTATGGATATGAGTTTATGCCCTGGGGTTTCACGCATTTGCGATCATTAGACAAACTAGTTTATTTTTTTTTAAATTGGATCTATGAATCATATTAGTGCAACCATCAGATTGGATAAAACTATTAACACCCCCCCACCCCACAAAAAATTATTTTCTAACTATTACTACTACTACTTTCGCTATTAATATCATTGTTATCACTTTATCTACCTACTGAAAATAACTACTACTATTATTTTCACTATCAGTAGTAAAAATTACTTCATAACCATCTCTACTACCATTGGTACTGCTTTTTAATACTGTTTTTATTATTGTTATTATGATGATTATCATTATCAATATTATTATTATCATCATCATCATCTATATCATGGTTACCACAAATATTATTTTTTCTTTTTTTTTCTATCGTGCTTTCGTTTCCATCATCATTAAGGCTAACTTTACCTTTAACACATCAACAATTAATTAATTAATTAATATCACAGTCAGCATAATCACAATCGTCAATAATACACTAGCCGTATTGAAAATACAAACATCGTCATCACCATACCCACAAATAGTACCCAAAGTTCAAGACCAATAGAAGTGTATGTACGCGTCTACATGTCTGTATGTCTGTGTGAAGAAGTGTAAGTTTGTCTGACGACGCCGGCGGTAGATATGAAAAGCGTCAAGAAATCCCCTGCCCGCTCCTTGTTGAAAGGAACATCTCCACATATAAAAAGCCACGGTCCTGACACCGTAATAGAATTAAAATTGCGTATGTATGTATGTATGTATGTATGTATGTATGTATGTATGTATGTATGTCCGAGTGCATGGATGTATATCTGTGCCAGGCCTCGGATTGTTTATATGGAGGCGTTTGTATGAACTAAAATGCGTACACCTGTATGTATCTGTGTCTCTGTGTATGAGAATGTCATCCTGAACAAGCACAAAAGGAAATCCCCCCTCCCGCCACCAAACATAGTCAAATAGCATAAACAGATCCAATTCTAAAAAAATAAACCAGTTTGTCTGGTGATCGCAAAAGCGTGAAACTTAGTGTCACAAAATCATATCCATATATTACTGATATTGAGCCCTTTCCACTAAGTACTGCACATACATATATATATATATATATATATATATATATATATATATATATAGCAATTACCAGTTTTCCTATTGTCATTTTTATTCATAAATATTGTCTTCTCTACTGGTTAAATCGGAGAAATTTATATATATATATATATATATATATATATATATATATGTATGTATGTATGTATGTATGTATGTATGTATGTATGTAAGTATGGTAATAAATAGAGAATTAATATTATTACATTTTTCCCTAATTATAAAACCTTTATATTAATGACATTTGCATAAGTAGTCAACCCCTTCAGCTAATACTTAATTGCGCCTTTTGACACCACTTACCATTAATAGACGTTTTCTATAGACTTCTCGAGAGGTTCTGTATCTTTGAACGGATATTTTTGACCTGTACTCTGTATTCAATCATTGCAAATTGATCAGATTCGGTGGTTTCCTTTAACGAACAGCAATTTTCATTTCTCTGATA